AAAGACACCCCCCCAGCACCCTCTCTCTCTCCCCCCTCCAGCTACTCCAGTCCTGAGCGGGCAACTGTGGAGTCGTAGCAAATTGGCTGTAGATTGGCTAAAACGGCTAAAAAAGCCCCAAAAAACAATCAAAAAACCACCAAAACCAACCTAATTAAAAAAAATAGCCATTTGGGGCTCTAAACTTGAGACAGCCAAAACTCATTGTCACTTGTATCTTAACAGGCATTGAATCCAGCTCTCCAGAGGTGAAAGGCTATTGGGGTAATGATTAAAAACCAAAATCTGTAGTTTATTCTATCGTTGTATTTTTGAAATACTCACCGGGGTCTCCCTTCTCCCTGTTGGACGCTCCCCCGCCTTGTTGTGCACGGATGGGGAGGGGGAAAAGGTGGGAAGGCTTTTTGGAGAAGGGGGGGGTCAGGGAGAAGCCTTAGAAGGGCTGGAGGTGTGCCCCCCCCCCCCATCAGGAGCAGTTTGGATGGTGGAGAGCAGCAGGATTTGTTGGGGGGCTCACTCAATTTGGGGGGCCCCCCCTTTGCTTTAATCCCCCTGCAAACCATACTCTGTGGTGGTGTGTGGGGGGGAGATTTTCCCATTTTCCCCCCCCGCCTCCAACCCTGCCCAAGGAGTCGCTGGAGTGGGTGAGCCCCCCCACCTCCCACCCCAGTTTGCCACCAGTGGCAGAACCGCTGGCCACGGAGGGAAGGAGCACCACGTTGGGTCACCAGTGAAGGTTTTGGGCTGGGGAAAAAGAAGGGGAGGGGGGTAAAAAATAGTAAAAATGTCAAAATAATCCATTTAGCACATAAATTTGGCCCCATCTGGGACGGGAGCAGCCTCGCAGGGGGGCTGAGGAGGAGGAGGAGGGAGGTAGCGTAGCTTTGGAAGCTGGTACCGGAGGAGCCCAGCACCCCAATGGAGCCCCCCCCCAACCCCCTCCCTGTGAGAATCTGCTGCTCCAGGATTGTCCTGATTGAAAGGAAAATCCTGTGGTGACATGGAGAAATACGGGGGGTGATTTATTGGGGGGGGAGAGAGAAATTTGGGGGGGCGTTGGGGAGCAGCGGGGAGGGATGGAACAACCTCCCGGCTTGCTCTGCCCTTTCCCCCCCCTCCAAAACCCCCTGGCTTTGGAACCAGCCTCGGAGGTAGCCACGAAGCCAGTGGCAAATGCCACATTGCTGGCTGTGTGTGTGTGTGTCCCCAGCTCTTCCCCATGTGACCCCCCACTCTCTAAATTTGTCCCACTTTTTGTTTTTTTCTTCTTTTTTTCCTCTCTCTAAGCAGGTTTGGACGCCTCCGCTCAAACCACCTCCCACGAACTCACCATTCCAAACGATGTGAGTATCCCCGGGGGGGGGGGGGGCCCCCGCCC